GTTATTTTTTTATTTTTATATTATTTTAAATTAATTTACTCATTTAAATTTTTACTAAATTTTTGACATTAAATTATTATATTTCACTTTAATTTTTATTTGAGATTTGGTAAAAACTTGATACATATTTTATTTTCAGGACTCACCTTGAACACCTCCGGTGCCCACTTGCGGAACGATTGCTCCTGGCCACACATCTCGTCACCGTAGGCAATCTTCAGCAGACGCTCGCCGCCCAGCTCGCCCAGAATGTTGTCCACGTACTGGCCGAAGGCGCAGAAGTTCGGATAAGCTGACGAACCGAGCGCAAAGACGGCGAAGCGGACATTGGAGAGCGGCCCAAAGGTTTCGTCCGTAAAGGTGTCCGAGGTGGAGCCGCGCAGGGAGTCCCAGCGGTCGATCTTCTTGACTTGTTGCAGCGGCAATTTCATAAAGTCCTGCCGTGAGTTGGCCTTCATGAAGGACTTGGATGAGCTGACACCCATGCTAATCGCAGAGCGAGAGGGTGATAGAGAGTGAGAGAGGGGGGACGACAAAGCTAGTTAGAAATTGAAATGTTGCGTTTTCTTGCGTGCTCAGCTCGTAATAAATTTCACAAAAGGCGGCCAAACAAAAGGCGTGGGCGTGAGCCAAGCGCCTCTTGTTATCCCATGACAAAGGCAAAGGACACGGCAAAAAGATGGCAACAATAAGAGCAACAAACACACACACATACACRAGCACACACATACACATAACTGACAGCACAACATTTATTACGCTTGTCATTTGATGTAGCCAAAGTGGGCAGAAAAAAAAGAGATACGAAAATAAAAAACTCAAGCAAAATGAGCACAAGGAAGAAGGAGGCCTCGCCTTGGACTGGGCAACGAAATGTGGAGCTGGGTTATTGGGCTGGAATTTAGACAGAAAACAAGGCAAGGCAAGGCAAGGCAAGGCAAAGCAATTGCTAAAAAGCGTAATCATCCGCTCGTCAGCAGCTCGTCAGAAGCAGCCGCAGCAGCAGCAACAGCAGCAGGAGTAGGACCAGGAGCAGGAGCAACAGCAGCAGCMGCCGCAGCATAACACACAGCATGTGGCGTCTGCCTGCAGCTAACTGAAGATGAACCCCGCTGCCGCCGCACAATACGTCCATCCACACGTTGAGTGATGATTCAACAATGAACAGTGGCAGTTTTTAAAGAAGACAGCACAGAGAAATGGACAAATATCCGCAACGAGCAGCCACCAGGCCGCTGCCAGATGCAGCTGGCTTTGCCTTATCCTCGCCGCAGCAGCATCCAATCCACATCTCGTCTGTTGGCAAATGCGTTTAAAACTATTTGAGCTGCTGCTCAGCTTAGCTTTGGGTCAAAAGTTTATGGCTTTGGCGCGTCGTAAAAACCTGTTGGCTGCCCCATAATCAGCTGCCAAGTGTTGGCCGTCCCTCTGTTGCTGCCGCTGCTACGCTGCTGCTGCTGCTGCTGCTACTGCTTACACGCTGTAAGAACTTGTTAACAGCATGCTGCACACAGCTGGCTGATGGCCTTAAGCCAGACTAAAGATAAAGAACTCTGCATTTGTGTCAGCCAGCGGATGCGAAACGTGTCAATAGTTTTTGATAAAACGAAGACATTTGCGAGTCGTTGAACACTATAAAAGACAATGAACAATTTGCAATCAATATTGATGAAATATAAATTCCTAATCATCAAATTGAAAACAATTTATAAATTAGACAACCCAACCATTAGATAAACTTACTTAATACTACACAATAAACTATTATTATATTTTTAATTAAATTTTTTTAATTATGTAGAATAGTAAGTTTAAAAAATAAACCAAATATCTATTAAAAAGTTCAAGTACTAATTATAATATAAAAACAAACTAATTATAAATAAAATTATTTTTTATTTCTATTAATAAAAAAATTTTTTGTCATGTTATTTTGTTAAG